CAACCTCTCATTTCTGCCTCGAAATTTTTAATTTATTATTGAGAAAAATACATCATTATTAGGTTTTCTGGGAGAAAACTGTTGCTGTCACAGGCGAGAATTTTTTGGAGGGGGGTTGAAGAAAATGCTATTTCTTAATAACACTTTTATTTCTTTTACTAGTGTATATTCTATCACACTAGGTGGAAAGATGGTTCATAAATTAGAAGGGAGACCTTTTAAAGCACTTCACTGAGACGTGAATATACTTCTACATGCAAGCGTTCATTCTGAAATAAAATGGTAAAAACTACCAGTCTCTGTAATCAATATATGTGACAACACACTGCAGAGTCATTTAAAAGTTTCGAAGCAAGAAACACGAAAAACCAGCAATGTCGTCACAAGGCGGTGAATTCCGAATCTTCCTCCATTGCTAGCCGGAAGTGTTACAACATACACTACGAAGGCACATAATAAGAAAAGCAAAACCTCCTTATAGCATTACACCTATCACAGTGGACAAAGAACGCCATCTGGTATTCCTAAATGAAATATTACACTTAGAAACACTATTACGCACAATCATCTTTTCGGTTAGTGCTTTCTATGATGCATCTAGGAATCAGTTACCTTTTTAAAGTAAATTCGAGATTTTGATTCCAATATGATACAATTTTATGCAAAGAGTTGAATTAATGTTAAGGATATGACAGTTTATAAATGTCCACAGTAAGGTTATCTTCTTTAACTTTAGATGTGTTCGCCTTATTTAGCACGGGAAGAAAGTTTTGATGCTGGTCTAGAATCTGAACCTAGAACTCCAATTTTTATTCATGGATTCTATGTTAAATAAATTATTTATATTAGGCATCTTTAACCTGTTAACCTTTCTTTAGAGTGCTGTATAATCTTATAAAATGAAATCTTTTTTAGCTTGTTCTTTAGTTGATAATATACAACAATATAAAGATAATAAATACATTTAAAGAAACTTCCTTTTCTAATGTAAAACCTCATCAGTTTTTTATAATACGTTCAATAAATTTTAAACAGATTTCAAACATGAAATAGAAAGGAATCAATCTTAAATAGATAAAATGAAGAACTTTAATATTTTCTTAAAAATATTAGTTGGATTTCTTCAATATAATTTCCTACAAAATTATATTTGAATTTCTTCAGTATTTCTTGAAACTTTATGTCTGTAGCTAAATTTTTTTAATGACTAACATATGAAAAATTAAATTCAAAATTTTATTGGCACGTTTGAGATGTTTCAGAAAATATACATAACGTTTCGTTAGCAAATGTCATTTTTGTCCAAAAGATATAAATATATCTTCTAAAATTGTTATTTATATCAGTAATAATTTTCCCAGTTTATTATAAATACTTGATAATTTGTCAGTGAAGTATTTAAAACAAAAGGATGAAACTATTTTTCTCTATATTAAGAAGAAAAATTTCCAAACGGATTACAGATAGGCTTTTAGAATTTCTCATTTTCAAGTTTAGATATAATACGTAAATTTCAGAATCATCTTTTGCGTGATTTGTGAAGCTTTCATATCTTTTTTTCTACGAAGAGCATTCAATGCATAGAGATATTATAAACTTTGTGATATGGCTGTAAACCTTCAGATTGATGTGTCATTACTAATCAATCTAGGTAATTAAGACACAATAACACGCCGAACAAATACTAATTCAGAAGTCAAACAACAAAAATCAGCGTTATATTTTCAAAATCTAGATAATATAAAATAAAATTCTGTCATTGTTCTTTGCTCGCAGTTTTCTAGGGGTAAATTTACAAAATAATTCCTAATTTTGTTATATTTTTGTAAATGTAAATTTTTAACTCTAAATTTCACAGCGTACTTAACTTCCTTTTTTTTCATTATAAATGATAAAACTAATAAAATATGAAACCAGATCAAATATTTTGGACAAGCATATATTGAAGAGCTGTATTCAAATGTCTCAAGAAAACTCAAAAAAAAAAGGTTTTTGTAAACCCATAAGTATTTTATTTTTAATTGCTTATCCGACCGACAAAATTTTGAGTTAATGCATTCAAATGCCATATATTTTTAATTTTAAAGTTTCTCAAAATATAGGACTGAATTTTATGAAAAAAATTTTAACTCTGAAGAAAGAAGATTCTGTAAATACAAATCTGAAGTTTTATGTCCTTCTCTTATAACAAAAATCCTATTAATAAAATGCTAGCTATATTTCAGTAAATTTAAAATAAAGCATTCCGTATTTCTACAAACAACGGCTGCAGAGACATTATCAATTGATAATTTCATACAGCCAGTTATAAAGTAATAAATCACCAAATCAGGCAACTTTTGTTTTATATCAGACTTCTATATCTGTTTAAAAAGTCCTCAAAATTGCATAGAAATAAGAACTGAAATATGATCCATATTAGTAAAGTTATTCCTGGAGTATTTCCTCAAATTTTTCACATAACGATTTAGGAAATTGTCTGTTCAGCTTCTTTAAACGTTAAATTAGTTCAATTCGAATACCGACATAACAAATTTTTCCATAAGCTTTTAGTACTAATTAATAGTGCCCTTTAACAATTTAAATATTTTAGAATAATATATTTAAAATGTTTAAACTGTTTAAATGTAAAAAAAAAAATTCTTATATTAAGCATTGAATTCAATACTTCTATATATTTTAAGCACAGAGCTCAGGCAAAAATAAGAATATGTAAACAATTCAGGCTTACGACAAAAGCTAAAATTTTTAATTGGTAATTTGGAAATTTGGTATATTGCAAGCACATGATATGCGAATTAGAAACAATGAAATATCGAAAACAATACTGAAATCTGTAATATGGATCAGTCTGACAGATGAGAATGACGGTAGTTAGAATAATTTTAGAAATATCAATTACACGACAGCAGAATGTTTTCATAGATATCAGTGAAAGTCATTAGATAGTTTGACGTTAAAAGTTTAGATAAAAATTTGAATATTTTTTTAAAGATATGCTAGCAACAAATTAATATTTTTTACTGAAAGTTATATTTCATATAACTTCAAAATAAGAATAATTATTTCAAACTATACAATAACCGTTTTATGTAACAGTTATTTAACAAAATAACGACACATTTTCTATGTAAAACAGACATACTCAAAAAGCGATTAATCACTACTCTCAATTCAATTTTAATACTCATATATATGCATAACAATCCGCCTTGACTCACCAGTATTCTATCAAGAAGAGTAAGAAACAAGAATTTTCTAATGAAAATAAGAACTCCTGCTTCTTAATATGCAAAATTTAAGCAGTTTCAAATTTCAAAACTACTGTTTTTAGAATGGTTGTTTTATAAAATATTTGCAAAGGTTTTTTTTATAATTAAAATTTAAAAATCAAATGTGCAATTTTATTCAGATCACTATTTCATTAATTAATTAGTTATTCATTAATTGATTAGTCAATGAATTAGTTATCTGAACTTATTAATTAATCAGTTAACTAATATTATTTTTTCATTATTACCACTATTTCATTATATCAGAACTTAAAATAAAATATTTACCATATGCATCATTATCTCAAATAAAAATACTTAAAATTTTCTAAAATGTATTCTATGGATTCAATATTTCCCAAATATTTCAAATACTTTTATGAAAGCTAACCCATGTATTTTTTAAATTAAATATAAATTACAATTGTTCTTCAATTGATCTAATAACAGTATTTTTATTTTTAGATTTATATTTTCACAGTAAATTTTTCACATTCTGAAAACAAAACTAAAATATGATTCAACAGCCTGCATAATAAGCTTACGAAAACGGTGTTTTAAGAAAATGTAAAATGCACACTCTTAAAATTTTTAACAATTTAAAAATTATTCTTTAGTAATGTACTTCTAATTTTTATTGAGCATAACTCTAATCCAGAAAGCAGAGGTTAATCAAGGAGATTTTTCAATTTTTAGCAGAAAATTTAAACATTTCAGAAATCCCTTATCAGTACGTTTGACAAGTAATTTCAACAATCTGTTTTGGTGAATAAATATCATATTTGATAATCATTGTGATGTTAGTTTTAGCTGTACACAACAGATGCTTATGTAAATCATAATAGATATGTTATTTTTTTACCCACAGAATAAAAATACTTTATTTACATGACGGCATTTTTTAAAAAGAGCTGACAACATTTTAAACCTTAGTAACTGTTTAAAGATTTATTTAAAACTTTAAAGTTTTTCTCTTTTGATCAAAAATTTTTAGATTCTGAAAATCATTCAAAGAAAAAAATATGTATGACAATTTTCTGCTAATTGTTTCTTACATCTCTAAACTCACAAAAGGTAAACAATTCCTTTCCTTTCAATGTTTCGTTTGATTTAAAGAAGAGAACTTTAACATTTTGTGTTTGTTATTTTCAGTAAAAATTATTTAATTTCGTATAAAATATATTATATTAAAACTTATTCTTTTAGACAATATATTTTCAAAGTTTTCCATGACGAAATGTAAATTTTCCAACAATCAAAAATGCTCACACGGAATTAACTTGCTTAAACTTATTTTTTTTTTTTTTCTGTTCAAGGCTAAAACACCAAATGTATTTTTTTTTAATTTTATTGACTAGGAACATTTCAAATTTCATAAATTAAGATTCTTCATATTATTTTTTAAAATATTTCAAAATTTATATTTTCATAATAAATATGAAGAATTCAAATATCGCTCAACAGAATCTTTAAATGAAATTTTAATTTTGCAGTTCGTTATGATAATTTAAACACCTAACAGATTTTATGAAATAAAATTTTGGTTGTTGTTCAATCAAATGTTCTAATAATTTCCGAAATTGTTGAAATCTGTAAACAAAAAATAATTTTGTTATTTATAATACATGTGGCGTTATAGCTGTTTTCACACAGAATATGGGAACAGAAGGGCAGGTGAAAAAAACGAGATAACTATGAAACGAGATAAGTTTCAAAACAAAAACTCACATCGTCCCATTTGACGAATTTGTTGCCTTCTTGGAGGGCCGCTGGCACAACGATGGGTTTCAGTTGGACAACGTGAACACCTGATTGTGCACCCGCCATGTCTCAAAATTCACGAATAGCCCTACCAACGCACACTTAATTCGTGATCTAACACGCACAGTCTCACGCAAGAAGGATCAATCACTCTTTCGTTTTTCTGGTAAGATCTCGTCCACCCCTTTCAGGTGTCAAGCGAGGAGTCAAAAATCGCTGTTGGACAACAAGAGCACCGAGCGAATTGAGAAAAAGATTTGGTTGTCCGTGCTCCGGAGCAGTTTCGCCTTGTTTTAAAGATCGTGAGCTTGAGGCGCATGATACGTTGGCGAGGGGTTGCCAGTACTTGGCGAGTAGTCGCCCAGGGTTGCTGGCCCAATCCATGATTGGTGAGCATCCATCCAACAGGTAAACGGAGCAGATCGTTCAACGCAGAAAATCGTTGGACAATGAAGGAACAGAAGAATGAGATAGGATTGGAATATGGAATCGATCACTGGGCGCTTATTTAAAAGTCCCGCAAAAGAAAGAGAAAATTTCTTTTATCTTTCTTTCACAGGTTTTATTTTCTCTTGCTTTGAAAATCTTGAAAGCCATATACAAAATGTAAATTATAAAATTTAATGTGGTGAGAGTACAGAAATTTCCTGATTACTCGCTTACTACGTCTCTTTTTCTATCATTCCTAATTAGGATATTTTATTTGCACACATGCAACAAAAGTAGTAGATTCGATGCAATAAGTAATAAATCGGAGAAATAAATGCTTTAAAAGTTCGAAGTAATAACTACTTCAGAAAGTAATAAATGCTTCGCTGCTTTATTCTGCTTTTTTTCCCACAATTTGAATTTTTGTAAAAATTATGGAATTAGTCTTTATTAGTAGTAATAAAGTACTAATAAAGTTTATTAGTACTAATAAAGACTTTATTAATACTAATAAGTAGAATTTTTCGAGCTTCATTGCTCTAATATGGCCTTAATGAGACTTTTATAAATTACTGGGATTTTATATTCTCTTTTAGATTAGAACAAGGTCTAAGGCACCTTTTTTTCTCACTGATTTTTCATTTGCATTAAGTTTAACTAAAGTATCGATTTTCCGAATATTATTCCAATTTCGTTACCTGATTAAAGAAAAGAAAGAGAGATATTGCTTCCCTAAAAAGCCCTCTACATTTGGCTATTTAATTAATTAATTACATATTGCAGATTAATATTTTGCTCAATATTAAAAACTTTATTTTAAGCAATGTAATTTTTAGATCAGATATAGCTAATATATGATATATGATTTAGATCAGATATAGCTAATCTATGATAAAACTATTAGATCTCATGAAAGTGGTTTTTATTTTTAAAGAAATAGTATTAGTAAGTAATAAATTATATTTCAGCAAACTGAAAGCCAATTTGAAATTTAATGTGTGGTTTTGAAGAAGCCAGTTTGAAATTTAAAATGTGATTTGATCAAACCGGTTTGAAATTTAAAATCTGTCTCTTATAGGAAAGCTACAAATTTCAAGGGACCCGTTCAGTATTTCTTGTAATATAAAAAAAGCAATTTTTCTATGAGACCTATATCAAATTAAATTAGAATTAAAATTATATTTAAATTATGTTCCAAATTATTTTTCTTCACCTAAATAATTTGTTTGAGAAATTAAAACTGCTTGACTCTTCTCTTGGTTATCTCATCTTTAATAAAATTGTATTATTTTATTATTTTTTTCTCTTCTTTATTTAGTGCGTATGTTCAACAATGTGTTTGCTTTAATATGAATTATAGTTCAGTAAATGTGTTAGTTCAGTAATGTTATATTAGTTCAGTAAAGTGTTAGTAATATATTAGTTCAGTATAATGTGTGAAAATTTAATTACTGTATACAGTGCCGGTACTGGATAGAATATACAGTTCCAAATCCAGGAGTGAACCGAGTATGTAGGTATTCTACATAATGTCAGATTTCACATTTCGCCAGTAAGATATATGCTTGTTTATATAGTATGGCTCACTAGAAGAGCTGTGTAGAGGTGAAATGGTTGAGGCTCTTTACTTAAGAAGAAAGAAGTTCGGAAACTTTAAGAAGTTCGAAATTTTAATATAATGAATGAAATCTGAATATGAAAGTCGTAAAAATACGTTTGAGCAGAAAGTAATTCTGAGTTTTACCTAAGGCGTTAACATTTGTTGACAGGGCTCTGCTCCGTAAGCATCTCCGTAAGCCAAATTTATCTCATATTTATGACCATGCCATAAAAAGGAATTATCATAAAAAGGAATTATCAGTATTGCGGTTAATTCTATTCTTCTTTAATGTAGAATAGCTTCTGTTCGAGGAGAAAAATAACTTTATGTAGTATGTAGGTCCAACATTTTGCATCGTTTTAAAATAACTGGTAGCTTTCTTCGTATTTAGAGCAGCGTTGTGTAGTTTAGGTTACACTTCTGCATTGGTTCTTACGCAAAGCAGATATAAGTATCAGCTTATATATTTATTTTCACATCTCTTATTTTATTTTTTAATCTCAGCTTTTTACTTACAAATGTAACCAACTGGAAATATTTTTTAATATTATAATTATTTATTATAATATTTTTTTATAATTTTATTCAATATTTTTTCAAATTTTATAGAATAACTCTTTTTTATCAACTATCGATTTAGTATATCTGATTTTTTTAAAGCTGCTTGTTTTAAATTAAAAATAATACACCGTATTTTCCTCATATTGATTCCTGGAAGATTAAGAGCATAATATAGAATTTTTAATTTATTCGCATAATTTTCTGTTTATTCCCTTAATTCAGAATTCTCTACCATAAGAATATTCATTTGTTGCAATTTATAAGACTGCCGTGATTTACGCAAGCATTTCAGTGCTTCTGCCTTTTCATAACAAATGCCATTCTTCCTCCTTTTTTATAGAGAAATGACGTCTATATAGATTATAACGACACTGTACCTGGAGTTTGAAAATTTTTAGTAAATAAAGAATAATAGTCCTTGGGAAAAAAAAAAACCTCATCTTCTCTAGAGTATATTTTATTGTACAAGTTCTTTCATCCTCCTCCTCCTGAGAACTGATGTACATCGTGTAGTTTTCCGTATTCTGTTTTTAAGTGGTAAAATTAGAGAAAAATGCCGAGAATTACGAAAGTAAATGTGATATTATTTCTTATTGCTTATTGTGAAAGGATGTTTTGAAACACATCTGATTTCTTTTAAATTTTAGATCGAAACTATAAAAGTTAAAAATAGGTAAACTAAAAATTCAAAGTAATTTCTTGGTAATTAAGCAATGAAATTCTAGAGATTAAATTCAAGAATGTGCAATACAATTTTATTCATATGCAAAAGATACGGGTAATAAATAGTACATGATTAAGCTATTAGCTGGCCCTAGACGAAATCATTCATTTTCTTTCAACACTTCAAAGAATTAGTGTGTGTGTACTTATGTATGTATATGCTTAACTTGAGATCGAGTTCAGGAAACTAAGTTTGGTCTTTCTCAAGTTCAGAAAGAAATCCATTCTAGCCGGAGTGCATTCCAGTACTAAGTATAATCTACCCTGGTATCTCTTTATATTCATTTTCAGTTAGGGGAAGAGCAAATAAAATCTGTCTTAGAGATAAAACCCTGCTTAAAGATACAGACATGTTAACTTTTATTGCGTGCTTTAATTTATTAAACTTCACAAAAATGATTAATCCTTTACAGTTGCAGCTTTCTCGTGGCTTATTTATCAGCAGTTCAATGATACACGTTCGCTAAAATGTAGATTATGAATTAGAAAAATACAGTATAAGACTTATCAAAAAATTAATATCTTATTACATGTCTTAATCTATATTATTATATATTTCAACGCGAAGTGCTTCCAGATTTGAAAGGGTCTAGTTCTTTTATGTTGTAGTCTTGTTGTTGTTGCATTATACTCACTTGTCTGACGTAGTCAGCCCAAGCCCACGAAATTTCTCGTGGCGAGGAGCGCTAAATTATGCCTGCCGTTGGCAACAACCTTGAGCATCATTCAGGTGACAGTTTGATTTAGCTCAGTGCCGCTCCCAATATTGATGGAGAGCCCCCGGGGGAACGGGTCCGAGGGTCTCCCACCTCTCTCCCCTTCCTCAAAACCACACGAGAGGACTTTCGTCTCGTCACATATTTAAAGTGCCGCCATGCCGCACCGACACTATACATTTACAAACATCCATGCCTTCTCCGGGATTCGAACTCGGGCCCTTCGACACGCAGTCAGCGGCGCTAACCGCTATACCCCGGTGGGGGCATTTTATAGTCTTAAATTTACTTATCTAGGTTTTCCAAATTTACAATACCCTTATGAGCGTACAAATAATCTACTTTATGAATACAAACGCTTCTTATCCCTTCCTTAAGAGGAAAGCTTAGACCACACGTGAATGAATTTCACATGCGCTTTTCCTTCATAAAACCAGCTGAATTTATATATATAAATTCACTAACTTCACTAACCACTTCCCCCTTCTGGGATATATATATGTCCTAGACGGGAAAGTGGTTAGTGACTCTGACTGCCGTACCGAAGGACCCGAGGGAGAATCTAGAGAAGGCATGGGTGTAAATTGTCTGTCCCTTTACAGGGGGTACCGGTGGCCCACCTATTAGGTGCCTCCGTAATAAAGTGACCACCGCTCCCGGCCTTAGTAGGGACCAATACATATAAACGGCTAGAGCCCACCATCGGGAGCAAAAAATCTCCATAACTCTATTTTGATTTGATTATGTCATTTCAATAGAAAGCTTTAAGAAAACACGCACTCTTAAGAGGCTATTTGAGTAACTTAATCCTTGTAATCATTAAATTAAACTGTATGCCATGAGAGGGGACATTAGAAGGGTATACTAGATTTAGGATGCATAAGTGGTTAATAGATGTAGTAATAGGTCTTTTTCCTCCATGGATGTGTTATAGACTTTAAAGATTCCCTTAGAGGGGGCAATTGTATGATAAGCTTAATTTCCTTCCATAAGCAGTCTGAAAAGATTTATTTGCAACATAAGTTATTAGTTCCATATATGCCCTTTGCATACATTTTGTATGTCTTGTGCTGACATGCTTATACAAAACCTTATTTATATTTCCACCACTGGGCAAATGGATAAAACCTGCTGAAGCCTGGTAATTCGAACTGATTTAAATCTCAAAATAATATATTATGCGATGGTTGTTTTCTAGGATTTACACATGTGTAATGGAAATACAAACTAATTTCCCTTACCAGACCTTCCACGAAAGCATTCCTCCTTTTAGATAGATAGCCCTAGCGTGTTTTGCCTTCATCAACTAAGCAACTTATTTATTTGTGATGTTAATTAGAGCCATGCCAAATGTAGGCTGAATGAGGCACTTAATTCGGCTAAAAAATAGGATGTAAAATTTAAATATTTAGAATGCTTAATTTTAAGGTTTGCCTCAGGTCCTAAAATCTTTCGATGCGGACCTGATGTTAAAATCTGAAACTTAAGAGAAGACCGCATAAACCGTAGTCAAACGAGATTTATAAACTCACTCTCTACCCTTTGTTTTGGAATTCCTTGTTTCTTTGAGGGTAAATTTTAAGGTTTAATAAAGAATGCATCAGAATTTAGGAAAATTAACATTGACAAAGGAAAATCCAGTTCTGTTTTAAAAGCCACGAAGATTCTTGTTTTAGTATTTTTTAAATTTAAAAAAAAATTATTAAAATAGGAAATCTAACTTTTTGTATGTTTCCCCAGCTCCTATACTTACATTTAGGAAAATTTTGTACTTGTTATAAAAATTAAACGCGAAAAGTTTTACTCCTGTACGACAAAAATTGATTAAGGTATTTGACATTAAATTCGCAAATCATATTTAGAGGTCGTACAAAAATTTAACAGCGAAACGTTTGCATTTTATATGCAGATTATTAAGAAAAGTTTTGATCAATATAATTGTTCTTCAAAATGGAGATTTTATTCACTATGATTTTTTTTTTCTATCGTTTGCTTTTCTACAATAATATATAGCTTTTCTTGTAATTTTCTTTTCAGTTTCTGTGATTACTTTCGATGTGTTTATTAAGCGTATGTTTTTTGTAGTTTGTTTTCAAATAAAGTAAAATATGTTGGTTTTCATAATTAGAGTAAAATATGTTGGTCTCATAGCTTGATCACAGTTTTGTAGATATTTCAAACATCGATGTTGTTTGTCTTAACTTTTGCCTTTTTCTTTTAATTGTTAATTTCCTTCTGCCATATTGCTCATCTGGATTTCTTTTAGCTTTCTTTTTTTCATTGACAGATGTTGAGGTTGTTGATGTTTCTTTCGCATAATTTTTTAACAATTCATTTTGTGTACTCATCTTCATTTTAATTTTCGTCTTTCTTTGCTTCTTTTTCTACTATAGACCGATCCAGAGTTTCATTTTTTTTATTTATAGATGCTGAATATGATTATATCCTCTTCTGTATAATAATTAAACAATGCATCTTTCTGTTTTAAATTTTTTCTCTCTATATTCTGTTTTTCTTTCTTTTATGAAATCCCTGATGATGATGATTTATAAGGCATTTCTCCCACCTTCCTAGCGTGCCTTCGTGGTGTAGTGGTTCTGCACGCTGAGCCGGTATTCCACAGGTCCGCGGTTCGATTCCCGGCGAAGGCGGTTGCTAATTTTTTCATCTCTTCTTTTTCATCATGTAGAGACATCATGTTTCATCTTGTAGAGACATCATGTTTCATCTTGTAGAGACATCATGTTTCATCATGTTTCATCTTGTAGAGACATTAGGATTTTTTTCATCCCAAAAATATCCTAATGTCTCTACAAGATCATATTTGATATTTTGTGGAATTTTGCTAAATAGACCTAATTTTGATTGCTTGTTTGTGTTTATAGTCGTTAATATCTAATTCATAGAATAAATGAAAAAGTATTTACATTACTTACTATAATACAAATTGTATCTGCAAACAGACCTGAACGCACGTACACACTATGCATATTTGGATTTATAACATATAGCTAGTTTACTCACACTACACAGTGGTACACTATATAGGACCGAATACGATTGTATTAATTTATCAATTGTTATGGTAAATTTTGATAAAAGTAAAAAGCGTATTTTACATTAATTTATACGGTAATTTACTTTAATTTGCATGTATGATGAGCATTTATTTGTCTTGTTTAAAAATAAATACATAAGTACTTTAATTAAAGGCTTATTTAAAAAACAATTGTTGTTGTTAATTCAACACTGACATGTAAACTAGGTGTGAGTCCTCGCAAATGGAAAGAGAACACGCCACAAACATTATGCGTATGGTTCTTTTCTAGTAATATTTTTTCTTTTAATTTGATAAAAATGAAGTATGAGATATAAAAACAGAAACAAATATTTAACAGTAGCTGAGTTCAGAGAGTTAAACAATTTAACAGGAATTTCTGACATCTCTACTTTAAAATAGAACCAGATAGTGCAGATAAAATTTGTTTAAAATGTGAGATTTCTTGTAATAAAATTTTCTAAAAGTACGACGATTTTAAAATACATTAATGATTATATTAAAATGAGTTTTAATTTTAGGATCTTAAAATAGTCAGAATCATTTATTTTGGATGATGGCTTGATTACTGGCATGCTTTATGGTCGAGCCTCCGTTAAAAGGACATTCCATTTTAGAAGACATTCCTCATTAATGGACAGTTCCTGATCTCCATACTCCTAAAGTAGCAAATGCATGAGGAAATACTTCTCAATAACGGATAAAATCGCTAATCCCATGAGTGAGTGGAAGTTCTACTGTTCTTAGCAATAAATAATTACTTTAGCAATAAATTATAAATAAATTATAAATTAATTCTTAGCAATAAATAATTAGTATTTATGAAATATTTAGTTTCATTAACTTTTATGATATATATATTACACAAATTTAGGTTTTGATTTTTTATTAAATTGCAAAAGGGGAAGAACATATGTTAAAAATATAGTCAAAAATGAAAAAAAAATTATTTTAAATGCATAATTTACACTTTTAAATTACATGCTATATTTCTGCATTAAAGTAACAGTTTCTCATAGCTGAAAAATAAAACATATTTGCTATTGAATTATGTAAGTACTATTGAATTATATTATGTAAGTATATGTAAGCTATTGAATTATGTATGTACTCTTATGACTCATTAAGAGTAACTTATGAAACTATTCCTATAACTTACTCTTAATGAGTTTACAAACTTGCGCCAACTATTCTAATTAATACTGGTTATTTTTTTACCTTGAAATTAAACAGGATATGTCAAGCTATCTTAGAAAACCTCCCCTAGGACTCTCTTTCACATTAAATCCTATTTTTCATTTAAGTGAAAATTTTATTATAGATATTGTAGATTATAACAGCACGGTAAGAATACAGTACTGATATCCTTCCTTCGAAATGAATTTTTCATTTAATTTATACGAGCACTTGAAATCAACTTTCAGTCTAGTCTTTATAATACGAAATTTTACTTAACCTTGACAAAACCGTGATAATTCTTTTCAACAGTCTCATTAGAAATGTAAAAACTGCTCCTGTGTCAGTGAGTCAACCGGAGTGATCTTTGATGTAAAGTTTTACACATTAGAGTTACTTTTTAAAATGTCTCAAATATTGAAAGCTTTAATTACCCAAAAACACGTTTCAGATGCCGACAGTAAGTTTCTTGGGCTCAGAATCACACTGCATATACATATACATGATATTATATATACATATAACTTATATTTGATTTTTATACTGCTTATATTCCCATAAATTAACTTCAGCAAATTTCAGATTCCACATATAAATCATAAATACCCATGAATTCGCGGATAGTCCTGATTCGGGAAAAATTTAACAATTCATGAAGAACTGAATATTTCATATGTCAGGGACGGTTTTGTTGAAGCTGCTCGAACATTCTACAGCAAAATCTTAAATATTGACAACACGTTTCAGATTGTTTCCAACTAAGATTTCGCTTCGTAAAATCCGAAAACGCGCATCGGGACACTACTCTGCTACCTTTTATAGCATTACTGTAAATTTTTAAAGCAAGTTTATTTTCGTCCTTTTTAAATTCTCGTACAGTACCGTCGAACCTTGGTGCCTTAGTACAATGTCATGCTCGTCAATAATTCAAAAACTCTGAAACTCCTTAAGCAGAGACCTTAGTCAGGGACCAAATCCAAAGAGAAAACTTCAAAATATTATACTTCCGAATTTAACTTTGTAAAAATACCTAAGCATTTTATTCGACAAACTTCCTAAAATTTCAGAGTTGTGATTAAAATAGAAGAGACAAATTTTTAACACAATCAGCTCCTCGTTTACTGGGAGTGAATTGCCCCATCTTTGTCAAAGGAGATTTTTGAAGTTTATTCATTTCAGAAGGACGGAAAATTACTGTCACAAACTATCAACATAAACCAAAAATGCTGTTCTGAAATTAAAATGTGTAAGTAAGATACCAGCAGTGTAATTTGAATGTTGCCCAAAAAAAGTTTCAACCAACTTTTATATACGAATTTAAAATCGATAGCATTATCTAAATTTTCTTGCAACTACATTCTTTAAGATTTAGTGTCTTTTCTAATAATTAATATTTTTCCTTCCTTAATTAAATTTTGTTCCTTTTGTTTCGAATGCTGATTTAATTTATGTAATAATAAGTTTTTTCTCCAGACTGCTCCAAGTGCAGTTAAACTGTATTCAAACAACAAGTTAAACTGTATTCAACAAGTTAAAATGTATTGTGTGCAGTTAAACTGTATTCAAACAAGTGCAGTTTAATCTGGCATAAAGTATTTCGCCCGCTTTCTTAGCATGCCTTCGTGGTGTAGTGGTCAACACACTCGGCTCATATTTGAGAGGTCCGAGGTTCGAATCCTGGCGACAGCATTGTCCAATTTTTCCGTTTCCTGATAATGAAAAATTCTAAATGACTCTACAGTGGTGCCCGAACTAAAAAAAAAAGGTGGTAGATGATGATTCTGCACCACCAGGATTTGGCAATTGGGCCCAATCCACCTCTAGCCCCCAATCCACCTTTAAAGGTGGGGTGTATAAGGTATTTCTCCCGCCTGCTTAGTATGCTTTCGCAGTGTAGAGGTCAGCACACTCGGCGCGTATTCGAGAGGTCCGAGGTTCGAGTCCCGGCGAGGGCTATGCACATTTTTCATGTCTCCTGCTTCCAACTAAATGACTGTCTCTACACTGGAAACAAGTAATAATATATATTTTATTATATTTATTTTATTTATATCAGTATGAATTATTCCTCTTCCTTGTGTTTTCTAAAGGAACTCACATTAACAGCACCCCGGTTAAATTGGATGTTGACTCTGTAATACCAGTAAAATTCTAATAAATGATAAATAACTTAATAAATTTGAATAAATAATTTTATTCGATTGCAGTGAAAATTAGTGCAAACTAACTACAAAGAAGGGATTTTGTAAACTTCCCAACATCCTTATTTCCTAAAATTCTTCTGACTTTTACTCCATCATTTTATAGCTTTCATTTCGCTCATTCATAGAGCTTAATGCTATGGCCAAAAACTGGTAGTAGAATTTTAAACTACTTCCTGATAAACAATCAAATTCAAATTTTGCACGCACACTCTTTGCGGATGATAATAAAATGTGACGGAAGGATGTTTCCAAAATTTGATTTATATATTGTTTAATTTAATGCTGAAACGATTTTTGGTACATATCTTCGTTTAACGAGCAAACTAAATATGTCAGAATTTTACTGTTTATTCCAGGTCAAAACCGGGAAGACCAGAAAAAACTTTTTCTATGTGATATTTACATGAAACGTTTCACATAGTTTCTAATTTCTTGGTATATGCTTGAAAATCGCTAGGTTTTTTTCGACTAGTTTGATCTTTTATTATTTTAAAATTTCAACAGCAAAAATTGTGTCCGTTAAAAAGTTCTGAAAATTTCTCAGATTGTGAAAAATATTTTGCCCTCTTTCAAAATAATAATGATAAAAAGGTATTGTTCGGGTGATTTTCTATATTTTTTTATTTGTATAGCATGAAACAGGGAAGTAATCGATTTTTCCTTGAACATCGTTCGGAAACGTAGTTTCAAGGTTATACTGTCTTTACATCACATTATTTTTCTTGCTACCATTTAGATTTCTTTAGCATTAATTTTATTTTATTTGTTTATTGATCACCCTCCCCTCGCTAAAAGGAATTACTTGCAAAGAAATCACAAAATTTATTTATTACTAATTACAAAAATCTTAGGCTTCCAAATAGCGAAAATCTATTAATCGAATTGCATAGCCAAAAGTATAAGCCATTATCTTTTTCAATTTATCAAACGTACCCCATGCTTTTTTCACTCGTGATATTAATTTGTAAACAAATTTTCTATAGAGAATTATTTAAAATCTTGTTCCCATGAAACGATATGATATATTACTTATCTTTTAGTTGATTAATTATTTTATGAGCTTTAAATAAAAATTAATTTTTTCACTTTTTTAATTTCCTTGAAAATATTTTAAACTTTTTAAAAAGTTGTATTATATTATTTCAAAATTTTGCAGGAAAATAAAGCAGTTTAAAATGTAAGATTTAAATCTCACTGTATCTTGAACAGGAATATGTTCACTTTATTTCTCTGCCATAATATTTCTCTGAATACGTATAGCAATATAACTTTTCAACTTCATGTTATTATAACACTAATTGCTCAAAAATAAAAAAAGAAAGAATTCTTTTAAGGTTTAGTTTATCAATTTTCTGTTACTAATATACATATATTGTTTGACACAAAGAGGTATTTCAATATTTCAAAGAAGTACTAAACCATTAAACACTCATTCGTATTTAATTTCAAGTGTAGGATTTATCTTGCAAAACAGATACGAGATTGTATTCGGAGGAATATCTTCATTCTATGACAGGATTATACTTTCTAAAATTTTAGTAATTATATAAACAAGCTAATTCAACATGGTGATGACCTTCTAAATTTTAAAACTGATTTCTTTTTACTGACTTCAGATTAATATTATTTTCCCTTAAAGATACTTATTGTCTTTATAAAAAAAGCAATATGATTAAAACTGTGCAGAAATAAATCGTCATTTTGAAGAATACTAGCAAGTTTCTTATTTCAGAGACTTAGTATTTACCATATCACTCTGAGTGTAAGAAAATGTGTATATTTATCTATAAATCCATTAACAAGTTGCTTGCACGCTTCCGACTTATTAAATACTTAATGTTTCTGTGCTTTTAGAACATAAACGGGTCATCATTTGGTCCGTTTAACAAGATTCATTTAATACCACGTATCGCAGAACATTTAGTAACTTCTTTTGCGTTTTCTTTTTATGTTGTCCCATCTGAAAGAAAAATAAACTTCAAATTCTTAGGGTTAGAAAAACTATTGGTGAAAGTTGAGCTTCAATAAAAGTAATTAGCGTTTTAATGGTGTCACATCAAAAAGAATTGTCAAGCGATTTCTTGAGGAAATTGCCACAATTTGTACTTACGAAATAATACACAAATCTATTGGGTGTTCGAAATTTTGTTTTCTCAAAACCTTCTATCTTGTGACACAGTTGACAGAAAAACATCGTACTGCCTTAGTTGGTACATTTAATACGAACAATGTATTTTTTAATGCATTCAGAGTTAAACAGCCATTTCTTTTCTTTATATATTTTTCACTAAATTCTATACGAAGTTCGATATTTTACAACTTTAAAACATTTTTCATTTGCGAAACGGAAGTCTGCCTGGTTGTTTATTACTCAATAACATAAAAATCAGTAGATTCATCAGATCAAAATTTTGGCAGATCAAAAATTGGAGTTAAGTAGGTGATAGGTTCATTTACACAGTTTTACAATCTGTGTAAATGAACACAGATATCGCCCACAGATAGGCGCTGAAAGAATTAAAAGTGACGCTAAGGGTTTAAATAAAAAAGCGCTTTGAAAAGCAAGTAACCAAAACACATGAGCTTTTACTTAACAATGATCTCCAAAGCGCGCAAGTACCATGTGCTTTAAGAGTATGCCTTTACATACATTGTGGAAGAAATCTGCGCATGTGAAACCCATTAATATAAATACTCGTACTTTGAAGAGTCTTCAATCATTACCAGCCTGTTTCATACTGTCTGATAAGTTTTAATGAACAGTAATTCGATAAACTTTAAGTTAAACAAACACATAAAAATTTCAGCGCGTATTCGAGCAATGGCTACAAATCGCATTGAATGGACTTCTAATACATCATTGATGCAAGGTTAAAGGAAACCTGAATTCCCTAAAACGGGTGACAAATTGAAAAGTTGAGAAAAAAATTGAAAAATTATGGTTTAATGCGCAAGCCATTAAAAAAGCATTTCAGAGTTTAATACTGATCCCGAGGAATAAAGGAAACACTGTACAACGATATTATTAGAAAAGCTGTTGAATTTTTGATTATATCAACACGTACTAAACATCCTTTCCCTTAATTGCGAAGTGAGACGAATGCGAAACATGTAGAGAAATAATGCTTAAAAAATAACATCATTTAGAAAACAAAATGTCAATTTTTCCCTTTAATTAAAGTTAACAACAATTAAATTATTATGGAATTTAATTGCTACAAAAACGTGAAAGAAATCTGACAGCAGTTAACAGCCAGTGATTTAAAAATTTCAGTAATCTTCAAATGCCATTGCCAAACATTGTAAAAGTCCTAACTGTATTTTAATTTTGCTTCTGTTAGTACTACTATTGACTGCTAATGCAGAGCTAGTGATTAGTTTCAGATGAATTTTGTTTATTTTGTAAGCAGTGTAAAACATAAACATTTATTATACTCAGCTGCACAATTTTCTTGATTTATAAAAAAAAAAAAGCGCACTTTTTCTTTGGGTAAAAAACTGCGAATAAAACAAAACTCACATTAGATTTAAAGAGATTTTAAAAATACGTAATTGAAAAAAATTTTCAAAAGTTAGAGTTAAAATAAATAAAAGAACTTGTGCTTTAGCGACATCTGAATAAAGGTTAGTATTCCTTAGCAAAAGAAATTATTTGCTTAATTTAATAATAGGCAAATTCAAATATTGTTATAGCAAACTTCAGCGAGCTTAATTCCTTCAATGGTTTTGTTTCAGCCTTTGGCAAATTAAAATTATGTAACGCCAATCTACACGTAATTCTTTTTTGAATGTGATAAAGGTTACTCTTAGCATGTCTGCTAAAATTTATATATAAAATATAAGCTAAGAAAATTTGCTGCTTAATTTTATGTTTTACATTTTAATGCATTCCTTTCAAGCAACAGGGCAATTGTATAGGCCCTTCCTTCCATTTAAAATTTTATTTTTGCCTGTATTAATAAATAATTTCAGATGTTTTAGAAATTAGAGTACATTTTGTAAGGTATCTTGTGTTAATTTACCAGTTTTTATGATTTCAAACTTTACTGTAACTTCTTCTTTCCGTATTCCTTATCGAGATGCAAATTATAGTATCAGTTTTTACGCTGAGATTTTTTGCTTTTGAGATAGCGCACTACGTTGTTAGTTTCTGCCAGTCCTTACTTTGCAGTCCTCTCATCGGTGATAACGTAATTCTCACTCATCTGTATAATTATTAATCCAAGTTCTAGTTGAGTACTTAATTAGGTATTCTTTCACTACTGTTAGAAGCTTAATTTAAATCTGACTGTTCTGTTTATTTACATCACTAAGTTGTGGTTATTGTAGCCGCAGGAGCTTGCCCATATGTTCTACGCTCTGTTTAAATAAATTAGGTTGTAGGGTTTATATTTATTTTAACTAACATTTAAGTTTAAACTATCTTTCCTGTCAAGCCTTACTTTCCCCTGGAACTGCCAATGCCAGAGTATGTAAATTTTAGTA